TCGTCATTATTTTAGTACTTAATTAATTTAACTACAATCTCTGTGGAATACGACCTTGCTCGCCACTACCTATAGCTACGCCGTACACTTGCGGATAGCGAAAATAATTAGCGAACAGAGTTGCAATGCAAACCAGCGCGCGAGACTCAGCCACGCTCGGCGACCAGCGCACACTAGGCGAGGCGTCCATGCACCAGGCGAGCCATAGCAAGTCCAGACCACTTCCAGCAACCAAGGTGCGGTCCGACAGCAGTTCAGCAAGCCCAAGGCAATGCGATAAGTGAATCGGACACTGGAAGGCATGACGTGGAGATCGCGATGGACGAGCGACTCGAAAAGACAGACAAAGCGAGCAACGAGACGAGAGGATGAGAAGTCTGGTGTGAAGAACAACTCAAAATTATTTGTCTAGCCCCGTAGGTCGTGTATATCTTTATAGAGTCAAAAAATTTTAAACCGTAAGTCTTGATCTTAACTATAGATTTCATTGCGTTTAGGATTTATTTTAATAAATTTGGATGTGCACATCGCTGACGTTCCTCATAGAACCCAACATGTAGATCGAACATAGAAAAACCTAGGTTTCCAACTCGAGAAGTTGGATGGAAGGTCCTTTATAAAGTCAGCTCCATTACAAGCTGCAAGGTACAAGGTACCTATTTGGTGCTTGGCTACAAAACATTACCTAAAGGACTTGCGGTCAAAATAACATCGTCCACAATAACAAAGTACAACAAAACACACCATATTTATGGTGGAGTTAGGAGAAAGTTGGTTGATGGGGAGCTGATACGTTGCACAAGTCCATTAGTACTGAGTGAGGGGGAAACCTAAGACTAGCCTCAATTTGGTCGTGGACGAAGGTGTAGCTAATTGCAAGTGGTTGTTCGTAGGTATCAAGAGGTCGAAGAGTGATGAAGTGCCAGTCCTCGGGCAACCCACTTAAAATTTGGAAATGCTCGAGCCAATCCTCTTTGGCATGGACCAAGATACTAGATTTGCTAGCTACAGAGACTAATTCTTGTGCAGTGCTACGGGAATATCATATATAATCGAGCAAATGGAATGGAGCTAGGTCCCGATGCTAGTGGAGAAGGAGAGTCGACGTCCTCCTTAAGTTCGTCGACCGGACAAAGAGGTCGGGAAGATAAGGGAGTAGGCTGAGGGATAAGTTCAAGGGAATAAGATTAAGAAAAAAAAATGAAGAGGTCAGAGAAGAAGGGGAGTTCATGTGCCCATCAACAGTGGCATCTGTCGTGGTCGCGCAAGAATCTAAAAGAGAAACCAAAAAAAAAAAATGTCTAAGGACGATGAATTTGAAGAATAGGAATGGAAGAACACGAATGCGGAGAACAAAATGTAAAACAAAAAATAAAACAAGTGTTATTGACAATAAGGAAAAAATACTTACTCATTAACATGGTTGGTGATAAGAAGTTGATTGGTGACCGAAAAGAGGTGCGGTGGTCGACGGTGGAGTAGCGGCATGGAGAATCGAGGTTTTTGCAGAGATTATATATGCAAGGAACTTTTCGGCGAGGGTAAAAAGAAAAAAATGAGGACGAAGAGGGCTTTTATAGGAAAGGAGGAGGAAGATGAAGATGTCAAGGACCCAGAGCAGTCTGATGGAAGTCGAGATGAACATACAAGATTAAACGAAGAGGAGGTGAGGAGAAGATCGAGCAGGCCATTAGATGCAGGTCGAAAGGGATGGATGAGATCGAAAATGTAAGCTGAAAGGACAGTTCGGCCAGAGCAATCGAGTGGATAGGACTTAAGGGGCATTTAAGGGCGCGTGGTTTGAGGAAAAGATAGAATTTGAGGCGATTATTTCCGGTGGATGTTACCCTGATGTAAGGGGATGTCAGATTGACCTGACAGGGTGTTAGGAATTTCAATATTGAATTTTGAATTTAAGACCTTGTACCTAGGTCGAGCTAGTTGTCTTGGCTAGTAGAACAGGGAAATTAAGCGGACAGGTCAGCCCGATAGGTTGCAAGCTCAAGGAACACAACTAAAGATTATTGATTCTGGAATACCATACCAAGTCATGTACGACCTAAAGAGTTGTCCAACCGGATGGATGAATCTTCAGGTCGGTCAAATGGCAAGGACGTCAGACAGGGAAGCACCAGGTCGATAATAACCTCGCGGGTGAGATAGCCTGCCTGCAGGCCAAGCCAGGGCTCATGGCTAGCTTGATGTAAACTCGACCTGGAGATCCGCAAGTCGATTACGACCTAAGAGATGAGCTTATCCGCTGAAGGTCGGAGCAACCTGTGCAAGAGAATCCGAGTTGATAGTGCAATTAGACCTTCTAATGAGGTAGACTAATGTGAACACACCACATAATAGATAAAAATAAATATAATTAAAATAAGAAGAACACGTGGCCTAACAGAATTGGACAGTTTGGGCACTCGTGCAGTACGAACGGGTAGCTCGGGCACTCGGACACCCCACTCGAGCAGTCTTGGGCAACAAGGTAACACCTCTGTATAAAGAGGTGAGGTATGATTGTTTATACTCTTACACACTCAAATATATTGTTCATATTGTTCGTCATCTTCTTCATCATTATTCACTCACTTGAGCATCGGAGTTTCTACATCGTGACAACTCCCGACGCTATTTTGCAGGTCTTTCTACCGGTCGAGAGAGCATCCAAGATCGTTAAACATGATCGAGGTTGTATGTACTACTAGGTATTATTAGTGGACTTGTTGCAGGAGATGGCGGCCCACGGCTCTGGGGTTTTTTCTTTGTGCTTTCGATAGGGTTGACTGACAAGTTTCAAAGTCATTTTGTGCCCCAAAAGCCTCCTCACCTTTTTGCCGCGGAGCAAGAGTAGACATGCTCTTCTGTCTTAGGCCAACAGATCTACTGAATCTCTAAGTCATTTTCAACCTTGAAATTAATGGACATGCATGAAGCATGCTGAATTTGGTGAATTAGATTGAGTGGTTTTAACTAGTGCATATCAAATATGTTTTCTAGACCTACAATTGTGGAGAAGTTAGAAAATTTTGCAACTAGTTATTCCTACGTCAACTCTTTTGTCATGTCAAGTGCACTCTTTGCACAAGGTCTATTCATTTTTGAATTTGAGTAAGGTAAATGTCACCTTTAAGGTTGACATCGACCTTACCTTAGAATTTGTGGGGTTTTTATCAGAGTCGTCTGTTAATCTTTGAACTGATTTTGAGTCTACTATTTCACAACAAGTGTTGCTCCAAAGTATTCACGATTTTACTTATAGATTTCACCCAATGATGCTTACGCCACTCGGTGGTTCTACAAGACCCTAAATCTGATTAGAGTCTGAGACCGTAAATAAAAAATCATCAACACCTTGCTAAGATTATATATCCTCGTCTCGGAGCGCCTCATTATAAAACTAGGGATCAACTCACGTTCATTAGAGATTGAGCCCAAAGACTCTCTCAAGAAGATGATTCTATCGGGTTGTCTTGCAACTATCTTGCTATGATGAGGTTCCTCCTGCATAGGTGTATATCACAAAACACGTGTTGCAGTTTTATTGCGGTATTACTTTTATATACTAGGTAGCGAAGTTGAACTTTCGTCTTTATCTTTCCTTATAACAATTCTATAAATGGGCTCGTGGTTTATCACTTAGCATTCCTCTGAAAACCAGACATTCATGCTAACGACCACCTTATGATTTTTAGTGCTATATTTAAATCACCTTTCTCATTAATATGAAATATCATCCGAACAACTTTTCCAAACAGCCGAACAACTTTTCCAATTCTATGAGTATCAATTTCCAGCACATGTGCCTAAAAGACCCCGAATCCGAATATGTTCTTGATTAGGTTTTCGCCCTGTCCACATTTCGTTCAGAGTAAAGAGTAATGACTACTATAACTTAAATGAAACTATGTTAGAGTTTATCCTGCTATTTGCACGACCCAAAATACTGAATTAGCAATAACTTGGATCAGTTTCCATCTCTGTTCCTGTGTTTTTTTCCATGTGCGATTGAAAGGGAAATCAGTGAACATTCGTCGCTCATCATCATCCATCTTCAGGGTAAGTTTGGACTGATTGCTAGATATTCAATCTTACGGACTTCAAAATGGGCTATCGCTTGTGATTGCCAACCCTATCTCAATTTACGCCATGATTGCATCTTGCTTGATTTTTGTTTTTGCAGCTCACTTAATGTCTTTGGCCTGTGTTTGAACTGCGGAGCAAACATATACTCTTGGCAATCAATCGTAATTTAATTTTAAGTTGTATTTTCGCAGCAGCCAATCGGAGATTATCACTAACTACCTGAGCTATTTTTGTTTAATGTTTTTAAAGAAGTATGGCGCATATGTACACCCTCGGTTTAAATTAGAAGCTTTTGTTTTAAAAATAGTAGTTCTGCACAATTAGGTGGCAAGAATTAAAAAAAAAAAAAATGTATCATTTTAATTTCTGCTAATGGTGCTTATTGGATTCAATTCTGTTGTTTAGATTTCTGTCCCTGCTTTGGTTAAAGGTCTTTTATAGTGTACAGCTTATTTTCTTTATGACTATTTGGGAATATGATGGTGTTTCTAAACTGCACTTTTGACTTCCTTGATTTAAGGCAGTGGGTTTGTTTCTCTGATTTCTTCCAGATGGATTCACAAAATGTATTTGAAATGCGTTTAGGCAAGTTCAATCATGCGAAATCTTTGTCTTTTATCGACGATAGTATCAAATAGCTATCACATTAGCAATGTTGTAGCTTATTTTAACTTTTGCCATGGGTTACTTCTCCAAAACTACATGTAGTGTGTCTGTATGAATTTGGTGCTTAGTTTATTTTTACTTATTTATGTACTTTGAACTGGACTGTAACTCAATTTATCGAATCTGAGCCTGGTAACTTTTGCCCCATGCTAATACAGTTTTCTTGTTTTCAACAGGAAAAATTTTGTGTCTCAAGAATATAATTTAATCAAATTCCGCTATTGGAATATAAACCCGTCCTCTATGCCTAAATGGCCGTGGTTCCAATACTGTATGTGATGCAATCGCGTTGCCTGAGCATTGAATCTTTTGCCTCATCCAAGTTGTTTGCCTCAAGTTGCAACAAGCATGGGCGAACGACTACAAGTGATTCTACCAAATTGTATCTCAGAGAGAAAACATTTCACCCACAACTCAGTAGACATATTCGAAGGATTCCTTATGAGACTCATGTCCTGAAAGCATTGGCCACCTCAGATGTTTCTGTTGTGAAAACTTCAGACCATGTCGCAACTTATAGGTTTATGATGGAGACCGGTGGCCAACTGAAGGTACTTGTGAAAAGAAAGAAAAACAAGAATGTACTTCATGTCCAAGTTGAGTCCTTACAGGATTTTGAAGGACAAGGAGATCTGATCATGATCTGGGGGCTGTTCAGAGCTGATTCAACAAGTTTTATGCCATTAGACTCCAAACAGCCCAATAAAGGCACCAAATATAATAATACTATTGAGACCCCGTTCGCGAAAGATTCTGGTGGTAAGTTAGCTGTCGAGTTAGAGTTCGAGGACAGTTTAGCGCCTTTCTATGTTTCAATCCTGTTGAAGCTCCATTTAGGTTCTGATTCAAGAATCTCAACAATCAGAACCCATAGGAAAACAAGTTTCATTGTCCCTGTAGGTTTTGGCTCTGGGCAGCCTTTTCCATTGGGCATTTCTTTTTCAGATGGCGGATTCATTAACTTTGCATTTTTTTCGCGCAGTGCTAAAAGTGTTGTTCTCTGTCTATATGCAAACACGGAGGAGGACCAACCTACTTTAGAGATTGATCTCGATCCATATGTCAACCGTACAGGTGATATTTGGCACGCTTTGGTAGATTGTTCCTTTCCCTTTGTGGGTTACGGTTATCGATGCAAAAGTGGTACAGATAAAGAAGAGCATCGAGTAGTATTGGATCCATATGCTAGGGTTATTGATGAATTCGGGTTGGATTTGCCTAAAAAATTTATCGGGAAACTGTGTAAAGAGCCTGCATTTGATTGGAGTGATGACATTCGTCCTAGCTTACCAATGGAAAAACTGATTATTTACAGATTGAATGTTACACGTTTTACAGTAGATAAATCCAGTAAGCTACCCGGTGAAATTGCTGGAACCTTCTCTGGTATTTCCGAGAGATTGGGTCATTTCAAGAGTCTCGGTGTCAATGCTGTCTTGTTAGAGCCGATCTTCCCATTTGACGAACTAAAGGGACCCTATTTCCCTTGCCATTTATTTTCTCCAAGAAGCTTATATGGACCTTCAGGCAAATCCGATACTGTTTCTAAATCCATGAAAGAGATGGTTAAGAAGCTGCATGCAAATGGAATCGAGGTCTTTCTGGAAGTCGTGTTCACACATGCTAGTGAGTTTGGACAATTAACACAAATCGACAAAGAAGCTTTGAATTGCAATCACCCAGTTGTTCAACAAATGACCTTAGAGAGCCTGAGATATTGGGCAGTCGAGTTTCACATTGATGGCTTCTGTTTCATTAATGCATCTTCTCTGACTAAAGGTCCACGTGGCGAGTTTCTTTCCCGCCCTCCTCTGGTGGAAGCCATTGCCTTTGACCCTTTGCTTTCAAAAGTCAAGATCATAGCAGATTCTTGGGACTCAAAAGAAATGGCTTTCCCCCACTGGAAGAGATGGGCTGAGATGAACACGAAATTTTGTTTGGACGTGAGGAACTTTTTAAGGGGTGAGGGTCCTATTAGCAATCTCGCCACTCGACTTTGTGGCAGTGGGGATATTTTCTTGAAGGGCCGTGGCCCGTCGTTTTGTCTCAATTTTATTACTAGAAGTGTCGGACTTACTCTAGTAGACTTAGTTAGCTTCAGCTCTGGGAGTGAACTCGAGTCCGAGTGCAGTTGGAACTGTGGCGAAGAAGGTCCCACGAAAAACACACTTGTGTTAGAAACACGGCTTAAACAGATTCGTAATTATCTGTTTATTTTATTTATTTCCTTGGGCGTGCCCGTGCTTAATATGGGTGACGAATGTGGCCTATCTTCACTTTCGTACACCGACCGAAAACCGTTGAACTGGAATGCCTTGAGATCGGGTTTTGGTGTTCAGATGATGCAGTATATTTCATTTCTGAGCTCGTTAAAAGTAAGGAAATGCGATTTTTTTCAGAGGAGAAGCTTCATGAAGGAAGATAGCATTGAATGGCGTGGAGTTGAGGATTCGGCCCCGGATTGGGATGACCCGTCGTGCAAATTTTTGTCGTTGACTTTGAAAGGTGATGAGAAAACGAGCGAAAGAGATGAGATATTTGTTGCTTTTAACAGCGGTGATCGATTGGAAAAAGTAGTTCTCCCGAGTCTTGCGGTTGGCAGGACTTGGGTTCGTCTGGTTGACACGGGACTTCCTTTTCCCGGGTTTTTCAGTGCAGATGGTTTTCTTATTGGGGATGAGATGGAAATATATGAGATGAAGGCGCATAGTTGTGTATTATTTGAGGCTAGGAGCTTGTAGTTGAGGTATTTCTGTTTGTTCCTTAAAACTGTAGTTTTACTTGAGGGGTGTGTGTATATTTGTGTACCATTAGTTGTGTATTGATAATGCCTCCAATAAAGTGTGATCTATTTGCTTTATTTGTCTACTATGGTGACATGATAAAAATATGCTTCTCTCAGGCTCTCGCTCTCGCACTCGCCTGCAGGCTGCAGGATATTACGTAAACTCGATGGTTACTCGGTTTACGCAGGAAAGAAACAGAAACGTCGCTGCAAAACATTTTAAATATAATTTTTAAATTAAAATTAATCATTATTACAATGTATTCTTATAAAATTTCAACTCCTCACATATTTATAATTATAATTATAATTAATTATTTTAATATTTTCTATCACATCACAATTGATCATTACTTCTATAAAAAAAATAAAATAATTAATTGCAATAGAAGTAAGTTGAAATATATACAATTACATGTTGCATATCTACAACCGTTCACTTCAATTACTTAAAAGATTTTTTAGAAGATAAATTATGAGTGGAATGAGATTCTTCTTTTTACTTTTATTTTCGCCATCAGCTGGGATTGGAAGTCGAGTGCCATTAAGAAGCTTTTGTGCGCGTGGACTTCATTTTTGTCCTTGTATAGAATATTTCGTGGTTATGAGATCAATTAATCACAAGTCCAAACTTGATAAGCTCAAAATAATACCCATTACCCAAGAGCACGTGGGTGAGATGGTTGGGGTCTCTCCCAGCTTAACCAGAGGTCTCGAGTTCGAGCCCTGGGAATGCAGCTGTGTTAAAACTCTTGAGGTAGAGCTTGCCGCCCTTGTGGTCCTACCCGACTCGATTCCGGATTAGTCGGTCCCCTAGGGGATTCGAAAACCGGAAGGTTCATTGTACCAAAAAAAAATAAAAAATAATACTCATTAAACAGGCCATTAATGAATTGAAAACACTCAACCAACTTCTTCTTTCTTCTTTGTCTTTCCCTTATTGTTTGTAAATTTGCCCTTTTAGTTCTAATTGTATTAACAGAAAATATAAAAAAATATAGTTGGGAAATTAAGTTGAGTCTGGGCACAGGCTCGCCCACATCTCAATCCGCCCTTGAGTATCTACAAAGGTATATAACACTTCATTTAGGAAGGTTATTCGATAATAGTGTTAAAAAACTGGTGTCGGAATTGTAAAGAGGGTGTGTATATCAAAAAACTTAATTCATTCTCAATACTCAAAATCTGATTCAATTTTAGATAATATAATTAAAAAATCTCAACCAATCATTCTTATACATCATATCAATTTTCATTTAATATTCATTTACTCACATAATTTTAATTAACCATCATTTCACATCATCTCTCTCCTACTTTTACAATCAGATCAATTTTAATTATTTTATTTTAAATATTATTTTAATATACATTCAAAATCCCACTAGTAACTAATCATACTATTTTTATCAAAATTAACTATGATTAACAAAAAAAAACTCATTTTGAGCAGATATATTTATATACAAACACGTCCTAATTCTTTCCAACTGGTTGTCAACCATTGCACATGCGCGGACACAATGGCGGATCCAGGAAAAAATTTCACTGGGACACATTAACATTGTCAAGTATTGAAATTATGATTTTTTTTAAAAAATAAAATAAAATACATGTTAGTGTGTGTGGGTTTGGCTTTTTATGACAATACCTTGTAATATTGTTTGTCCCATTTTTGTTACTATTTTGATTGATATTTTGTGTGCCGTTTCCCCCATTTAGCAGTCGTTTCTTAGGTTTTTTTGGTCCTCCGAGTTGTTTGTCATGTCTTAGTGTTATTTATGTGAGTTTCATGTTTTCTTTGTTTTTCCTCCTATTTTCTCTTGTTTTTCGTGTTTTTCCGGTTTTGGTGGTTTCAGGTTTTAGGTTTCAGACGAGGAAAGCGGTATTCTGTTCCGGTTTCCAGGAGTTCTAGGCTTGTTCATTCGACCTAAACTCGCGGGAATGGAGTTCCCAGCTCAGGCAGAACCCGGGAAATGCTAACCGAGAGCACGAGCCCAGAATGCCAAAAGTTGGAGGCTGCCTAGACCTTAGCGGCGGTAAGGGTGCAAGACTAGCGACGCTTTGATGGCTAGCGAATAGCTAGCGACGCCAGAGACTTTCCAGCAAAATAAGGGTTAGCGCCGCTAAGGTCTATTTTTAACTAATCGCGTTTTTTGTGGATTTTGAATGTGGAAGGCATAAGGGTCGTGTTAGGGCATATTTTCCAGTATTCTCAGACTTGTATTTTCGACTTTTCACTCCAGAACTCATTTTTCTCTTATCTGTCATTTGAATTTGATCTTGGATAGTGAAAACTCCAAGAGAGGACTTGTAGATTTTGATTATTCGTGGTTTTTCAACATTAGATTCGTATTTAATCGTAAGCTTTCTTTTTCGTTTTATCTATGATGATGATGGCTTTGATTGATGTGTATTTCGTTGTTGAATCTATGATGAGTAGCTAAATTCGTTAACTAGGGCTAGGGGATTATTATTCCGGTTCAATTTCGTTTGTGTGAATGTTGATTGCTCAATCTATCGAGTTATGTTAAACCTAGGGTTGGATGATTGATCACCATCTTAATCTACTAAATTGATTCTTAGAACCGAAAGGGAGGAATCGATCGATCCATGCTCGTTTAGAATAGACTTGTTCGGTAACGTATTATCTATGTGTTAATTGATTTGATAATTGTTCGTTTATGTTTATTCTCTTGTTACGTGAGTTATTGAGAATAAATCTCTAGATGAATTAGGTTTTTGAGTCCTTTAGCCGAGTAGTTGATTGACTGATAAATGCATTGAGAACCGGAAACGATTGTCCCCGATACCCTAGTCCTTTTACTATTATTTGGATCGTGTTTGAAGTGGTGAGATCAAAATTGTTTTGTTTGAGAACTATTAGTAGATAATCGAGTAGTTGATAATTGAAACCAACCATTTGAATTAGAGTGTTTAGGATTATTTTCATTTTCTGTGACTGAATATTCGTACAATTTAATCCGGCTGACCTTCCTTGAGATACGACCCGGTGTTCGAATCTTTCGATTCTACTTTGGTAAAAATAACTACAACAAATATATACTAACAATCTCTTTCTTTATATGTTTGCAATAAAGCAGGTCAGATTAACTAAGCAAAAGTTAAACAATATCCAAATTATTACATCCTGCTTAATAAAAACATGTATTTTGTCTTTCCTCTAATCTTATCTGCAATATGTACACATAAAAAGCTAAACCCACACATAGCTTAGTGGGGGCACGTGCCCCCAGTGCTTCCACCTGGATCCGCCAGTGAGCGGACATAATAGTATGCGTAGTACAACATTTAAAATCACCAATTATTAACTAGTTATATTTAAAAGAAGTTTAATAAATGTATATGTACGTATATATATTTTAATAATCCATTAAACAAATGAATTAACATAAAAAATCTAAGTTTATTGAAAATTTCTTTATATTCACTATTCTTTTTCTCCCATAATCATATTCTTATCATTACAAATCAATAGTTTTAACATCTTTCGATTAGTAACTATAGAGAGAGTTGCGTGTAGTTGTCCACGACTGAAAATTGTATTCTTCAGTATTATTCCGGCGTGCGAAGATTGTAAGAAATCATTATAGGGAACTGCATGGTTTGAAACTTAAATGGTACCGTAAGATCCGATGGCATGACTATTAGTCAGAAACTTAATCACCAGATTTTGATCCCGTTAACATTCTATATTTGATGACACGACTGCTAAGCTTAATAATCACCAAATGTGTTCTATTGCACAACCCCGAGGAATGATCTATGTTCCTCAGCAGCTTATTAGAGTATCAACCTTAAAATTCAATTTATGATTCGGCAACCCGGAGCATGTAATTCCATTAAAAGATTCAGGAGTATGAAGATCTTGAATAGAGTCAATGCCAATATCTGACTTGCATGCGCCATCAAAACTCATATAAGTTCTTCCCTCGGATGCCTTTGAAGAGATTATATACTCATTAACCGACTCAACGACCATAACTGTTGGAGCAAGTATTGCTTTGTCCTTTAAATAGCTAAGATCGTCGGTTGCACGCTTGAACATTGGGTAAGTACTCTCGATAATATTTGCAATAGGAACCCCATTTGATTTCAGAATAATGTCATTCGAAATAAGATAGTTGCACACCCGTTGTTCGAACCTCCAATTGTACTGTCCCCTATGCTTGCAAGCCACTCTGCAAAGCGTTGCAATTCATTATACTCATCACCCCCACTAATGCTTAAAAGTCTCATGTCCTTAGTCAGTCAGAATGATGCAATCTCGCTACAAGTTAAATGCATTAATTGTTGCATTCACAATATCATTAGGACAATCATTAAGGACCAAATGAAGTATCTGCCTAAAATCACCACCAAATACAATGGCTTTGCTGCTAAAGAGGAGGTTTTTATTCTATGGATTCTCTAGTGGGAGCCATGTGTAAGGTTTTTCCTAGGCTTCCAATCTCTTAAGATCTGGTTGCTCTGTGAATTTAGTGGGAGCCTCAAGGTAGTCCAGTTTTCTCATCGTGGGATAATTCTTGTTCGCTTCCATCAAAGCCAAAAATTTGCTCCCCCCATCTTTATTTTTCTCAACCACCTCAGCTATTGGATCCTCATCTTCATAGTAGCATAACTCATTCTCGAGATGGAAGTTTAAGAGTTCCACATACATGTATTGTACTGAATTCCGAACTCCAATTCAGCCATATAACTTCACACGACGAAACATAGCTAGAATCATAATACATCTTCACCTCGTCAACTAGTCTTCTAGAAAAATCTTCACCATTGCTCTCATACAAGGTGGAAGTAATACGATCATTTCCCTTGTTCATGTATTTGAACACATACTTTATTGATCTCAATAGTTCGGACCACTCGATATTTATATACTCGCGTATTTAGCAGTAATTGTTGTAAGTATTTTTAACCGGAGTAGAATCGAAA